AAATTTCTTTAGTTTGAAAAACGAAAAAAAAAGCAAGTAAACTTATTAATTCAAATATTTCACTGACTAAAGACATTAATACACTGTGGTCATTAGAAAGAATCATGCCAGCGACTGTGAATGCGTTCAAGAAAAAAGATTTTAATTGGAAGGAATATGAAACTTTTAAAATATTTAATACTCAAATTAAATTAAAAAAAAAATTGTATGCTGAAAGTGGAGTGTAACGTGTATCAAAAAAAGTTGAATTTTTGTTATATCTCAGTCGTTGAGAAATTTTAATTATTGAATAGTCGAAATTTTAATTGGAAAACTCATGAAATTCGTAAAGCATTTAATAATTTTCGAATTTAGTATTAAAAAGTATTATTACTAGTATTATTGCGTGTTATTCTCTATAGAGATTCAGTGCTATACCAAAAGTATAAAAATCCTGTTTTTCTCGTATCGTATTTCTTTCCAATGTGACTTATTTATTTCATTTCTCGTAAATTCGTGATCATTTTAAATCAATTTGAAATGTTAACGAAGGAGCACGAAGCACAGAATATTGTATTCTACGATGCAGTAAATTTCTACAAAATAAGAAGTTCAACCTTACGTAGAACGTAAGTCTAGATTGAATAAATCTAGTTAGGAGAACGTTTAATCTCATCAACCGTAGTAATTCGAAATCCAAGAACCTAACTAAGAGGCTAAATTAAATAAATCTCGTCGGATCGCATCGAGATCCAAATAAATATAAATTGAAGAATTTTAGATATCGAAGTTTTCAAGAGGAATTGAGAACAATCTGTACCTTAAAAATTTGCCTTTCACACGGCCAATTGAGAACATAATTTCCTATAAATTTGTCATTTAAAACTTAGAAATTTATAAATTCTCAATGCCTCCCAAAAAAGGGGGGAGGAAAGCAGAATTACGTAACAAAATAAAAAAAAAAAAATCAGATATACACATTTCTGCAATAACTGAACATTAAGTGATTGCAAATGTATCATCCAAAATTGCGAAATAAATTTCTCACGACTCTCGAGAAACCTTAATTACTTGAAGCTTCTCTCCTCCCACGCAATTAAAATCGAAAAAAGAAAACAGAAGAATAGAAACACTGACGAAATTATGATATTTTAAGTGTGAGCAGCATGATTTCACTAACGAGACGAAATTCATATTTCGATAAAATTCGGTAATTTCTATTTTCGACGCGTGATTAGGCGGCGGAGTCACGTTGCGACACAGAATATTTCCGCGATGGAAATCGCTCGATCGTAACATGTGTACTTGCAACACGCAGCGAGATAAAACAGAGTCGTCTATAAAAGTGAGTGGCCGTCGCGAGAGTTCGACCATCGACACGTTTGCCAGCAAACTCTCGACGTAAAATAAAGCCGGATGATTCACGTTCGTCTCGCAGCCGGTTACCACTCGTTTCTCCATTGACCACACACGAAACCTAGGAAAACACGAAACGATCGTGCCCTGACAACGAGACGAGACGCAGTTGCTCGCGAGAGCCACGATATTCATTAGCCTGTATTGGAAACTGAAATGTAGATCGTGTAGATCGCCAGCGTTGGATCACTCTGACGTCCGAGTGTTTTCTTTTCGAAAATGTAGTAGTCCAAAGTCTGTAGAGAACAAACAGTACCATGATGTTGCTTCCAAATCCACGAATGATCCGCGTGCAATTCGTTTGAACGAAACAGTAGATTCGTTAATAATTAATAATAACCGTGATGTAATGGTGTTAATACTATTGGGCTCGGAAGGTGTGTCGATCAACTTCGTAACTCGTGTTATTATTTTCTTGAGCTGAATTAATAAGGTGATCACCGAAGATGAATTATGAAGATGAAATATGATTAATTGGATATTAATCCTATATGTTTCTGTGAAATTGAGAAATCGGGGAATTAAAATAATTGATAAATAAAGTGATGTTGAAAGACTCAATTAATGGTAAATGATAAATTTAAAAGTGAGTGACTGGATTTACACACTTTTCACTGTCAGGAAGATTTTCATTCAAAATGACAATGTTTATTTCACTACGAGAGACAGTGTTCTTGTTCGAAATGTTTAAACACGGGAAACGAAATGTGTGATGACGCTAGTGCATCGTGTAGATACTTAGATAACAAATGGACGTGACGTGTATGTCAATAACAGTGACTATGTTAATCCATCACGTACGTACGTTATAGCGAATATATATTGTATTTTATTTTCAGTGTATTCAGTAAATTTTTTTACAGTATCAATTGTACCAGTTGTGTTAATTATATCGATTATATATTAATTTGCATTAATTCTTGATCATTCAGTGTATTCGTTTATCGAATCTTACCCTAAATTTTTCGTCACACAGTGAAAGAAAATTGAAACAAAGGAAATCCATTTTCAAAAGGCAGAATTGTAGAGTAAGTGTAAAATAGATCATTCTTAATATAATTCAATATAAGTTCGAAATTCAATATAATTCGAACATCGAGAGAAAATCTCATTCGTACATCTGAAATAATTGAAGTGACTCGAATTACTTAAAAAGAATAGCATTTCATTTGAAATTTCTGTTCAATTTCAAATTAATTAAATTTCTATTTAATTCCAAGTTGATCTCAAGTATTCGTATCGGACGAACACAAGCCTATTATATTTCATCCCCAGGTTTATTGTATTAATTTTCAATTTTTAATTTATTACAAATTTATTAATTTTTAATTTTTTTATATACAAAATTTTTATTATACAAAAATAATATATATAAAAATATATAATAAATTATATCATAATTAATATAATTATTAATAATAATTAATATTAATATAATTAAATTATATTATATTAATTTATTATATTATATTATATTATATTATATTATATTATATTATATTATATTATATTATATTATATTATATTTTAAATATATTAATATCTAACACGCTGCGACAAAAAATCACGAGCCTCAAAATTCTCCCCAAATTCAATTCGACCAAGACGAACAGCTGTAATCTAACATTTCCGCCACTTCTAACGCCCTGCATCTTAATCATCATTTAGAGGAAAATGATGTATGACAACAAGTACCAGCCGGCCTATCATCCACCACCGAATCCATTCATCGTCCGTGACGTTTCCCCGCTAGAAGCCGTATCATCGAGCGAATTTGCTTTCGCGGCGATTCCGGTGGCTCGGTCGAAACCGAGTGTTGCCATTATATGCGAAAGCCAAAAATAAAGCTACATATAACGGAGAAGCGTGCGTCTGGAGCATTGTCACCACCTCTGGTGCCTTCTCCGAGCGATCGTCGAACGAAACGAGGGGAAAAGGTCGCCAAAAATCAGACGCAATTGCTCAAGAAAATCAACGCGGATCGTTATTCGAAAGGTCCAAGTTCGATATCTTAACTCAGTTTAACTGTCATTCGACGATAAAATTGTAGTACAAGCTGTTACTTAGAAAGCGTATTCTAGAAAGGAATCGTTCAAACACCTAGAGATACATTTATTTTAATGAATTGTATATTTTGTAATTATGTAATATTTGTATATTTTATTATTTTGTGATTACGTATGTATATTTTGTACGCTATGTAATATTTTGATGAAATGTTACAGATTGATTGTTCTAGTTTAGAAAATTACTAGAATTATTGGTATAAGTTTAAAACTTGTATCGAGAGAATGAAAGTGCAATAAATGAAGAATCACCTCTAAAAGTTCATCGTTTCGAACGAATTTCTACAATAAATTACAAATTTGATTATTCTGGTAACTCGAGCGTTAAGTTCAATGTAAGCGTTAACACGCGAGGTGAAATTTCAACGTTTCACCATCATTTGCCTTGTATCAGAAGAAAACAAAGTGGAAAGAAGAAGAAAAAAAAGTATAACATAAGAAGAACTCATTTGTATATTTTGAGAAAAATCATTCGATCTTTCCAAGAATCTATGAAATTTCTACGAGAAATGACAAATGATATACCCGTATTACAAACAGTATTTCGTTGAATGGAAAGTTTTCGTTGCGAATATTTCACGTTGGGTTGTCAGATGCAGTAGTGGTCTACCTCCCCAGCCAGACAGCTTAACTTATGCAGTGGAAACAAGCCCAAGGGTAAATTCTTCGCGACCAGTGAATCAAGCGTGTCTTCGATCCCGCTTCAGACAGGTGATACGATAAAAAATTGACTCCGAAATTTATTCTACTAGCTGTCCCTTCTGAATGATGTAAAAGTTGCTGAAGAAACATTGAATGTGCTGCAGCTTGGGCTTCTTTTCAAGTGATATCAATTATTCATCTATCGCTATCGGTTTGTATATAGTAAACAGTAGAATTCGCGTCTTTATAGAGAATAAAAACGAAAAGGAGAATTATGACCTCCTTTAGGAGAAAGGAATGTAAAATATTCCGAGTACGATTAGAGTTCAATTAAAAATTACTCGAACGATTTTACACGTTGGAAATTTGAAACCTGTTGGACAGTGTCGATTAATTATCATAGAACATCACTTTGTAAATTATAGACGTGAACTTTGATCGAGAATTGTTTAAAACTCGTAACTTTGAAAGAGAAAAGGAAGGGAAATTTCACTTATGTACGACTGATTGTGTTTCGATGCCCATTCCTCGATTTATTCAAATGAAACATGACAAAATAGAAACTTCTCCTAAAATAAATTTTTTAACAATAGCTCTGAATAAAATTATAAATAGACCGCGGATGTTTAGAAAATAGAAAATTTTCAAAATTAAGAACGAAGGAAATATATTAAATATTCAGAGTGTTCTCTAGAATATTTAATAAGTTTCGTACTTTCGGAAATACAAATTTACAAACAAAAGTCCGCAGTCCAGTTTTTCCCTCAAAATTCACCGATGCGATTTGTTTGAGTTTCGTCAAGTTGACAATTTTATTTTCAGTTTCAATTGTTAAACACGACTCGCGTGCTTTACAAGGAACAGATACGAGCGTTTGAAAAACACGGTGTTACGTACCTCTCTGCCTGTCATACGCGTTTATACATTCGCTGGTCATAAATTGGCTGATCAGGGCGGTTTTCCCAACGCCTCTTGTACCAAGCATCGCCACCGTGTACGACGTGACATCTTTTGCCGGCGCGGAGTGCTTCTCCTCGCCATCTTGATCCGCAGGTGCCAACGAATTCGACCTTGATCTTCTTCTTCTGAAAGAGTCGCCCCTGTTAATGATCCCTGTAACGTAGAAAAAGAGAGAAATATAATGGAACATTGTCGTAGGTTTTTAACTTGAGTACGAGATTAGCTTGTACTTTTTTTGTAATTTAATTATAAGTAAGAGAGGTAGCTACAAGGTTAAAAAAAAGAAAGTTTGCTCTTTTGAGAGTTACTGGGAAGTCGTTGCACAGTTGAGTGCACCTTGAATTGCTAATTGATAGACTTGCCATTAACTATGTAATTTAATTATACGAATCACCCGCCATATTGTTTGACACATATACAATCCTTAAAGACACGAGATTGGAAAAATGGCTATTATATGCACACCATCAAGCACAAATTATTGGATATTCAATACAATTCCATCAAAATATTAATATTTTTGTTTTGTTGATTAATATTTTATTTTCACACTTACGATCAACGAACATTTTTCTATAATTAAAATCAAATTGCTATGCTAAATTAAATCACAAACGAGAAATATATTTATATTATTCTGATGAATTAAAGCTTCATAAAATTTATAGAAATTTTTCTGTGACAATATACATATTTCAATATTTCAATATTTCAATGCTTCTAAATTCTCAATATTGAACGAACAATAATAGTTAGAATCGTTTAAATAAGATGTAAGAAAAATTAATTTTCAGCATTTTTATTTACAATAGTCCATATTAGTTGTTCTATTAACTCTGTGTGTTACAATAAAAGTAAAAGAAATCATTTACAATAATTTTGAACTATCCAGATACTAGTATTTATAACTTTCGAAAAGAAATAACTGTGGGATAAATTAATTACGTATCTGTGTAAATTTAATTCAAAAAATTGCTAATAACGCAAAGATATTCACATCTCATTTAGATGAAATTACAAAAATTTTTAAATAAACTATTTATTCACATTAGTGCATTTTACTGAATATCACACACGTGCAATTTATATTACTGATTCATACAACTTAGCTCGATATAATAATTAAAAAATACTCGTTTCATGTTATTTTCAAAAAAATTCGAAAATTTAATTTAATATTGAAATCTCCGCGCACGCGCCTCTGACAATGAAAAATAGATTGCCAAAAGGAGAAATTATTCTGGAAAAACTGTGCGAGTGAATGTTTGTTGAAATCGGAAAAACTGTTCGAGAGGAAACTAACGAGCAAACGCACGGTACAGAAAGGTAGAGCAGAATTTTTCGCGCGTTCCGCCTCCTTGAAAACGAAGGCAATTAAACGAAGGCAGTCTTCACGATTGTGCTGGAAAAACAAGGATTCAATTACGTCAAAGAGACGAAGGCATTCGAAAAATTAGCATTTCCGTGAATCGATGGAGCTAGAGTCCAACAGCTCGTCGATCTCACGATTGAAAAAAGAAAAAAGAAGAAAAAAAGGATGCAAAACGGAATGTCATTAATGAACATCTCGTCTCTTTCGAAGAATGCGTTCGTTGACAAGGGTGTAAATAAATTGAACGAATGACAAATAAATCTGTAGACTAGTTGAACAAGTCGAACGTGTTGCACAATATTAATTGCATATTTCGCTTATTAAAATCTTATGCAAGATTTCGTGCGAATAAAATTAATAGCGATTTCATGCAAACACGGCAAAAAAGATTTTGAAGATCCTACGCGAGATAAAGATGAAGAAATTACGGGAGAAAATGATTTTATGCAAAATTGGAGAGGAAAAGATTTTATGCAAAATCATGCAAACACAATTTGATGGAATGGATATATATATATATATATATATAATATAAATCTTGATACTGTTGCAGCTTTCAATCATTCAAGCAGATATGATTTTTCCCGAACTTCAAGATTAATGAAGGCTCAAACGCTCGTTCAAACATTCGTGAATCACTGAAAACGACGGAACGAATTACGTACACGATAAAATTCATGTAACAATTCCGTGAAAGCCATCAAGGTTAACGAGTAATTTTTTACGATTTATAATGAAAAAAACGAGGAGAAAGAAGAAAAACGCGGTGTAAATAAATAAATGCGAACATTCGCGTTCACGAGCTCGAGATGCCATTAAATATTCACGTGGTTATCGGTTTATCTAGTGAAACGGAATTCGTTCTCTCCGTTTGTTGATAAATAAATGAGATGATAAAAATACAGATCCCCGAAGATTTTTTTTGGGTCATGAACACCTGTGTTCCACGCTATACAAAGAATTCAAGGAAATAGATACATATTTTAAGACAGAAAAAAAGAAGAAAGATCTTCAAATAATTCGATTTAAAATTGTAATGGACACTGTGTCTATTTATTTATTTATTTATTTACTTCCTTATTTAATGTGAATACCAAAACCGCGTCAAGATAATGCACTGCAACAAATGTACAACGATTTGGAATAAATGGAAATTTCAATTTTAATGATACAACCTTGAATCTTTTTAAAAAAGAAAGAATATACGTAGCTTTAACGTTTGGCTGACCTAAATTCTTTGATAGAAAATCCGCTCGTATTTTACTGTTAATATTTCGTCCTTTGCTTTCTCGTACATGTGCTTTTGCGGTTTGCATTCGTGAAATAGTTCGTTTGCCAGTCAGTTCAATTATTTATACAAATACCACGTTCTGAATTTCAAATTTCAAACAACTATCGTTTACGTTGAACACGGGAAGAAGACGAAAAATTGAGATTATTGAAAAAGGTATTAAACGAGACGTCAAAGAGTTGATGAAAAAGAAAGAACATAGTAAGTCGAATAATTATAATTAAAGTATTCGAACTGTACAAAAATATTGCCATAACAAATATTAATATAAGGATATTATTTTAAAAATATTAAATGTTACTATGAGAAAAATATTTAAAAATATTGAATATCACTATGAAAATATTAAATTCATCCATGACATTCTATTTTTAATTTTAATTTGCTTGTATTCCCTCTGTTTTATTTTCATTTCAAACGAAAAATAAATACGACGATGAATCAAGAGCAGTTTATACGAATAAAGTTAAAAATTGCAATATTCGTGAAGCTCTCGCAGAAAGTAGTATCAGACAACGTGTAAGCTCGCGCGAAGTTGAATCTACTTGTCAACCGAAACTGATCGCGCTTGGTTATACCTCGTTCTGTTTCGTTCGGGCGTGTGTCTAAAAATAAGCTCGAAACATGGATCGAGATAATATGCAAGTCAGCCAACGATTCGCAAATTGGATTGCAGACGTCTATAACGAATGGAGGTGCCGAAGTTGAACGAAAGGCCGCGCTCGCGAAATACTGGTCGAGCAGCGACGATTTAACACTAGAACTACCAAAGTGGTAAAAATGATCAATTTGTAATTTTTGTAATTTTGATATTTTACAGACGTAAAACGGCGTCTTTTTAAAAATAATCTTTTCAGATAAAGCATATTTTTAGATAATCGTTCGTAAAAAGCTTGTACACTCCGTTATAAAGTTTCCCTGTTTTTCTTTTTTTTTTTTTTTTTTT